TTCCCTGGAGCTCTAGGGAACAGTTTTCCATGAATGATAAAATCCTGTCCTTCCTTCTTCTCAGATGCTGGGATTTCCCCACTCCTGACACATACACACGAAGACACTGGTCTACTGTGTCAATCCCTTTTTCCTCATCCCACCACTGTGGGATTTTTGATTCTTCTCATTTGGTGACCAATCAGCATTTTAAAGCTATGCTTTTTCTCTCTGCCAAAAGGAATGATGGTAAGCAAAAAGCAAGCAGAAAAAGGGAGATGATGGCCACTAGAGTTTGTTTTTGGAACCTTCCAGTTGGAAGCAGAACTGTCCAACTCAAGAAGAAGAGAAAGAGAAATATGCATAGGTTGGTGGTTAATGACAGTGACATGAAGGTTTGCCTGTTTTTTAGGTGCAATGGTCCACCCAGAACTTTGGTTTTATTATTGTGGCCACTTTTATGATCATACCAGGTGGATACCCTTCATGAAGGCATGAGCCCAAAGGGCTATACAATGCATGCTTGAAGCTGAGTGGGATAGAGACAATGGTTGCGAGCGAGGGACTGTAATTTATATTTTGCTTAGGCATATGGGAAATGGCTAGCAAAGAAATGTAAAAGTGGGGTCAGAAATACCCTTTTCTGCTTGGGTGGGAAGAAAAAGAAACTCTGCCACTGAAGTCCAATTCTTGGCCAAACCATTGCTGGGTCTGTAAGGCCAAATGCCATTTGGATCTGCGGAGTTCTCTCTTTGCTTCTGATGCTTCTCTTGAGCAGAACTCAAGAGGCCAGCCTTGAGAAGCAATTCGGTGTTTTCCTGTGTTTTTACAGTTCAGTTCTGGAGCCCTTGCCCAAAAAGACATCGTCTGGAGATGGCATATCATAAAGATGTCCTACTTCATACAATTTGGCTGTGGCTACCAAACAGGCTACTATTGGTTAGGTTTAACTTGGTTAATTTTCCAGTGACCTAGGGTTGTGGTATGAACCCAAGCGGTTTGGTTAGTTAAACAAATCCATAAAGCTGGACACTCTGTTAGAGCAAAGGTTTTGATGGTTCTTGAGAGTGCAAAACCACCTCAGTTGAGTTAGCGAAAGTTAGCCAACTTTAAAGTTAGCTAAAGTTAGCCACTGAAACATTTGTTAATTTTGATTGGGATTAACTATGGTTAGATGGTTAGATGTCTGCAATGCTGTGATTGAAGTCCCCCCTTTTTTTAAAAAAATCACTGCACATGCAACACATTTCAAAAAGGGACAGGACTTTATTTGTACTGATGTGGCTGTGATCTTGACATTTTTGACCACTCCCCCATCCCTCTTGCACTTGTATGAACCAAAATATTTACTTACCTAACAGTTGCAAGTGATATGCATATAAAAAGGACACAGGGCTTCAATCACATGGTTGTAGCTGCCATTTTGACTTTTTTAGCTCTTGTCCCCCAGACCCATCTCCATCCAAATCTTCGGGGATACTTTGAAGAAATAGGCAAATTGGGGGCAAGCATAGGATCCTTGGTGCTCTCTGAGTTTGGTTGTCTTCTTACAGACATTTCATTACCCAACTGGATAAGATCATAACCTAGGAGGCACCGCCAAGAACACTCCCACAGATTTTTGAGAAGAGGCTAGACAGACACTTGTCTGAGATGGTATAGGTTCTCCTGCTTAAGCGGGGGGCTGGACTAGAAGACCTCCAAGGTCCCTTCCAGTTCTATTCTATTCTATTCTATTCTATTCTATTCTATTCTATTCTATTCTATTCTACTCTACTCTACTCTACTCTACTCTACTCTACTCTACTCTACTCTACTCTACTCTACTCTACTCTATATTCTATTCTATTCTATTCTATTCTATTCTATTCTATTCTATTCTATTCTATTCTATTCTATGTTCTATGTTCTATGTTCTATGTTCTATATTCTACTCTACTCTACTCTATTCTATTATTCTATTCTATTCTATTCTATATTCTATATTCTATATTCTATATTCTATATTCTATATTCTACTCTACTCTACTCTACTCTACTCTACTCTACTCTACTCTACTCTACTCTACTCTACTCTATTCTATTCTATTCTATTCTATTCTATTCTATTCTACATAAATAGAGAGCAAACCCCAGTCTCTTCTAGCAAAAGAAAGCTAGCACTGATGAGGTTACCTGGTCAGGTAATGAAATGTCGGCAAGAAAACAACCAAGCTCAGAGAGCATCAAGGACTCCACAGTTCAACCCTGAGCTACACTGTATTCTCTTCTGTTGGGTCAAATATCTTGTTAGGAAGGAAGGAGAAGTATTATCTGGGGGAAATGGCTTCTTCCTTCCATGGCCACCTTTGCTTGGGCTGTAGGCCTTCCCTTGCTATCAAAGAAGATGTTCTTGGTTTATTGGCCAAAACATTATCTTAAATAAAACTCTCATTTTAGCCAGCTCATCTTGCGTTGAGCTGGCTGAGCTTCCAAACATCTCCTCTGCAGGCATCCCTGGTCTTGTTGTGTCTTTCAGTCTCTTTCATCTTTTGATTGTTCTAACGTTTCACGTTTGGTTTGTTTGCTTGTTTCCTTTTCAATCTTTATTGTAAGTATTTTGGAAAGGGCTCCGGACTATGAATGGGGTTGTGGCATGAACTAGTTTGGGCCCCTTTCCTCTATCCTTTCTCTAACTGAAATCAGCTGCTTGACTTGTGGTCCAGCCTGTAGACCCTACAAATGGATAACGAACACACTGCACCAAAGGTCATAAATTCTACAATGAGGTGGGTGCTGCAGAGAGCTTGGTGTGGATTTGCACTGAGACTTTTTTTTAAATCTTTTTTTAAAAATCTTTTATTGAGACTGTTTATTTAACCTTTTACAGAAAACTAATGCATCAGAGAAAGTCTTACCTTCCTTATATGCTTGTTTTCTATCCCCAAGGACAAATTGGTAGTGGGAGAGATACATGTCATTTAACAACTCTTGGCCCCTCAATTGGAATCATTGGGCACATCTCCAGAAAAAACAAAACCAAGGTTCCTAGCTTAATCCCCCAAGATTCCTACAAGAGGATAAGATCGACACACTCTCAGATCTGCCACCACTTAAATCTCTAAGTAGAAATCATCCTTGGCTCCATTTGTTGAGAAAAATATAATTTTAATAGAAGTCAAGTGTACGGCAATAATGCATATCCAGAACTGAGAATCATGCACCAAAATCCCTAAGTTCAAATTTTCCCTTCCTTAACTGCCTCCTATTGTTGACCCCCCCTTTCCCCCATGACCAATCAGGTTCAACCAAGATGTTTTCAGAACAGTCACTTCAAGCATAGGTTGGTATGTAGCTGTCTTCCTCTCCCAACTGGTTGACCTTGAAACAGTGTGCTGGACCAGTATAACTCTGGCCAGAGCATATATTAACTTAAGTACTATGTTAGAACGTTTAGCATTTAAAGGGTTAAAAGCTGTTTCCTTAAGAGATGGCTTATGGGTAATGTAGTTTTAGCTCTTCAGTGAATCCTATATTTATCAAGTCAGTGGGAGGGGCCACTAAGTTCATCACAGGATATCCTGGCTACGTGCCAGCTTGTGAAAGGAATGCCTTTATGTAAAACTAGCATAAGGAAGCATGCGGGGATATTGTCTACAACCACGCTAAAGCTGATATGAAGGAATTACTGTTTTTACCTACGTAAAATGGACCAATGTACACATCCGGACGCATCTTCAGAAAGTAAGTTCTGCTAAGAATTCCTGGAATAAATATTTGTTTTATAACCATTTTTCGTTGGTAAAAACAGTAAAATGTTCTAACATAGTACTTAAGCTAATATATGTTCTGGCCAGAGTTTTACTGGTCCAGCACAAGCAGCATTTCAGGGAGATACAGAAGTGACTTCCATTTCCCCTCAAGCATTTCCCCTCCTGGCTACTCTTCCCAGAGTTCATGGCAGACTGTCACCACAGAGCGAAACAGAAGCAAGCGTGAGGTAGCAGCTGATGCGCATCCTACAATATTGCCCGTTTATACAGAAAAAAATATATCGCAGGATAGAAGCTCTCATCAACTAAAGTATCATTTCAAATTTGAACGCTGATCTGATAAAATACTTAGCTATTTTACTCCAAATGGTTAAACCACATTTGGAGACTGAACTTTCCTTCTGATTCTCATCCGTATGTAGGGATTGCTACATAAAGACTCAAATTGCGACCATTCAAAGTTGTGGCAGACTCCATGGAGCTCCTTACAACCTGGATTTAAAGTTCCAATAATGCCCCTCCCCCTGCAGTCATGTGATGGCATTTTGAAGCCTTGGCATCCTCCTTAATGGCCATTTGCAGGACCCCACAGTTATGTGATTGTGATTTATGATGTGTTTTTTTTGCTGGAAATCGGCATTTACTTTCAATTTCTAGCAAAAAATGCCCCATTGTAAAAAATAGATCACTTAGTGATTGTGGTGCTCATTTAGTAACATGGTGGTGCAGTGGTTAGAGTGCAGTACTGCAGGCTACTTCTGCTGACTGCCAGCAGTTGGCAGTTCGAGTGTCACCGGCTCAAGGTTGACTCAGCCTTCCATCCTTCCGAGGTCGGTAAAATGAGGACCCAGATTGTTGGGGGGCGATAAGCTGACTCCTTAAACCGCTTAGAGAGGGCTGTAAAGCACTGTGAAGCGGTATATAAGTCTAAGTGCTATTGCTATTGCTAAGATTCACTTAACGACTGGCTCAAAATGTCATAAAATCAAGCACAGTCATGTGGTGACCCTCTTAACAACCAGTATGGCTTATAATTGAATTCTGGGCTCAGTTACAGTTGTAAGTTGAGGACTGTCTGAACTGGATAGGATTTCAGGGCCAATGACCCTGCCTTGATCAAAGGAAAGCCCACAATCCAAACTGTAACCTGTTCAAAGGGTGAGCAGAGGAGGGCAGCAGATTTGAGTCTAGGGCCCCTTTCAGCTGTTGCTTTGCATCCTCCGCAATTCACATGTTTCCCAGTTGACTTCCACTCTACACCCTTTCCAGCAATAAAATGGGACTCAAAGACCGCATCCGAGTGAGCAATTCTCAGAAGCAAGGCAGCCGGGGGAAGCAGCATCTGGTGCCTCCACTCCACCGCTCCCCCAGTACGGAGAACGTCAACGAAGGCATCAGCCCCAGCAAGGTACAGAAGAGCTGGAGCTTCAATGACAGGACAAAGTTCCGGGCCTCATTGAGGCTGAAGCCCCGGACACCAGTGGACGGTAAATTTTGGAAGCAGCCAAAGCTCTGGAGGTTGGACAATTTCATTTGGTTTTAATTCCTCGTAGTTGATCTTAAGAGGAAATCAACGAAGCTTGCTAAGAACGATTTGTATTTATTCCCTCTCTTCTCATGTTTCTGAAGAGTTCAAAACATGTGGTAGATTTACTGTTTGGTAGATTTTATTTAATAGTTTCTTAAGTTTGTATTCCACACATTTCCCCTAGGACAGTGCTTTCCAATCTCAGCAACTTTAAGATGTGCGGAATTCAAGTCTCAGAATTTCCCAGCCCACATAATGGCTGAGGAGATCTGAGAGTTGGTCCAGACACCTTGAAATGTCATGTTTCCATCCACAGCTGATGGTCCTGCAGAGGAAAGCAGCGAGGAGAAGACCTATCAATGTGACTTGACTTTTGAAGACATCATGCCTGCTGTTAAGACCTTGATCCGAGCAGTCAGGTGAGAGCTGTAAAGCTGGAATCCAAGCCAAGAACTCCAGATTTGGGTCCACAAGGTGGCTTCCAGAGAAAACCTCCTTCGCTTTGAGGCGTGTGGTCCTCTCAAATCAAAGTCTCAGCACTTGGGATTGAACAGCCTAATAGAGTAGACTTTTTGCAGTCCAGATGTTGCTCTCAAGAGAATTTGAGATTAAAGAAATTGAAATGAAAACCAATCACAGTTGGCTTTAAGGAAAGAAAGGGAAAAGTCTCATGGCTGAATATATACTTTGCCTTGGAGAAATCCCTGCAAACTAAGAGAAAGATTCCAGTAAGAAAAGGATGACAATGAAATTCACAAGTAGAAGATGTGATGGTCTCTCTTTTGCTCCTTGAAGTTGTTTGATCCATGAGATGGGTTGCCCTGGGCCCATCTGTCCTTCAAGGCATTTTTGGTAGCCTATCAGCTTCCGTTGGGAGAATGCTCCACCAGTAACTAAAGACTTAGGCTATAGATGGAGTGGGTACCTGTTTCAGCTCTGACTGCTGCCGCCACTGTATTCAGGTCAGCCCCAGAACAGCTCTTAAAAATTGTGCCTGATTTTCTTCAAGTAGGAGAATCTTTAAGTAGGAGAGCCTTTAGTAGGAGAGCCCAACAATTCTATGTTCTGTGTTGACATTGATGCAATTTTTGCCTTGTGGGCCTTTAAAATGGAGAACAAAGTAGTTGGGTGATTATAACGGAGTCATTTAGTTAACATCTTAGGGTTTGCTGTGGTCTTTGTTGAACTTCAGTTGAAGTGGTTGACCTCTAAATATGAAAGTCTATTTGTTCTATAGGCTCAGAATTATGGGTGATTAAATCTGGGGATGCTGCGGTTGGAGAAGACTGGGCCGTAGCATCTCCTGCTTTCAGAATGCATTTTTGGCAACTGTGATTCAGGAGTTCCCTCCCCACCAGCAGTTCTGAAGAGCACTTACTAAATGGGAGTATGCCATGCAAGGTTACCTGGAGCAGTAAAAGATTACCTAGATCTCTCCTCCAGGCTTTGGTACCTTTCATTTTAACTTTATTTTTTTTTTTTTTAAAAAAAAGCATGTTTTCTTGCAGAATTCTTAAATTCCTGGTAGCCAAAAGAAAGTTCAAGGAGACCCTGAGACCATATGATGTTAAGGATGTGATTGAGCAATACTCAGCTGGCCACCTGGACATGCTTGGCAGAATCAAAAGTCTCCAAACACGGTGAGGACAAAGACTGGAGCTCAGTGGTGCTCGGGGTTATTTTCCCAGCAACTTGAAAAGCCGAAACTAGTGCCGCTAGTGGTGGCAAGACCTCAACCATGTTCACAAACAACTACAGCAGAGGCCCCCTACCTGTGGGGCACCAGGGACCGGTTCTATGGAGAGAGGTTTTTCCGTGGACCGGAGGGGGGCCTGGTTTCGTGTGTTGCCTGCATCCCGCAGATGGGGCTTCGCTTGTTTGCGCGGCCCGGTTGCTGGCATGCCACGGTCTGGTGCTGGTCCACGGACCAGGGGTTGGGAACCCCTGAACTACAGTTTTGGCCAGCATTGGTTGAGCTGGACTTAGAAGACTTGAGTTTCTTTCATACAGCTATGATGCCGCTGCAGACAAGATACTGTGAGAGACTGGAAGAGTCCCAATGGCAAAGATGGTCAACATCTGCACAACCACTTGGGCAGTTGGTCTTGCCCATCTTCTGCTATTAGAGACTTAGGTTTCGGGAGAACTGTTGCAATTATTTTTAAGCAGAAATGTTGGGGCTATACCAGTGATGGCAAACCTTTTAGAGACCAAGTGCCAAACTGCAACCCAAAACCCACTTATGCATCGTCGGGTGCCAGGTGGGTGTGGCCCATTGGGTGGGTGTGGCCCATTGGGTGGGCGTGGCCACAGTGGTAACAGCAGACGGGGTGGGACTAAAAAGTTCAATCAATCAATTCCAACTTTGCAAGATCTTTTTTTTCCCCGAGAAGTTGAAATTGACTGATTGATTGAACCTCTTTTTTTTTTTTTTGCACATGGCGGCGGAGGCCTAAAGCGAAAAGATTTTATAAAACCCAGCTGAAGGCCTAGGACTGGGGCGATGGCACATGTGCCCACAGAGAGGGTTCTGATTGCCACCTCTGGCACCCATGCCATAGGTTCACCACCACTGGGCTATACAGTTCTAGAGTATATTAAAATTAGGAAGTGACAGGAAACCTCTAATTTTTAGACAGAAAAAAACTCTTTCAGGTGAAATTTTCAGAGGCGGACCTTGTCTTGATCTAGTTCCCCAAGTGAGCCACATTTTGTTTCACCTGATGTCCTCTCCCCTGCATCTCTCTCTTCACTCTTTCCAGTGTGGATCAGATTGTGGGCCGGGGAGGTCTCACCATGGATAAGAAGACACGGGAGAAAGGGGAAAAAGCACCATTGGAGATTGACCTGGTGGATGAACTCAGTATGATGGGCCGAGTGGTAAAGGTGGAAAAGCAGGTGAGGCTGGGCCTGGGGGGGGGAAGTGGGTAGAGGGAGGTGGGCTCCTTATACATGATGTGATCAGGCCACTGCTTGGATCTTCTATTTCATCTCTCTGATAATTAGATTTCCATCCCCCCTTTTGTCTAAAATCTCTTGGTGGTGTTCCTAACATGCATTCCTTCGTTTCTCCCCCCCCCCCCTTTAAAATGAGTTGGGCTGAAAGTGGGTGATTTATTCCCCAGGGAGATTCCATAGCTAAGGATGGAACTTGAACTTGGCCTTCTCCAATTCTAGTTCAATCCCTTAAAGCATGGTGAGCATCTGTGGAGGTAACCTCAAGTGACATCAAGCGCATGATGACATTTTCATGCAGATGGCATAAATGGGGTAATCTGCATTGTGTGCATCATGTTTTCATGTCATATGTGACCTCACTGTGGCTTCCACTAGAGGCTTTCCTTCCTTCCTTCCTTTCTCTCTCTCTCTCTCTCTCTTTCTCTCTCCCTCCCTCTCCCTCTCCCTCTCCCTCTCCCCCTCCCTCCCTCCCCTCCCTCCCTCTCTCCCTCCCCTCTCTCCCTCCCTCTCTCTCTAGGTTGAGTCTATTGAGCACAAGCTGGACTTGTTGCTAGGCGTTTACTCCCAGTGCCTACGGAAGGGTTCCATCAACTCCATTAGTTTGACCGCTATACCAGTTCACACTGGTGAACCAGACATCACCTCTGACTATCATAGTCCTGTGGACCATGAAGACATCTCTGTCTCTGCTCAGACCTTGAACATCTCCCGATCGGCTAGCACCAACATTGACTAACATGGCCTCCCCAGACTAGCTGTGTAACAGCAACACACCAGCTACATGCAGGGAGGAGAGGCTGGGAGGGAGTCTTTACTTCGAAGGAGGACTTGGGAGACACTTCCTGACTACTCTTATGGAGCGTGCTCGACTGAGCCGAAACCTTCTCCAGCCTCACCCTGTTGGTCTTTCCTCATCAGATTCATCTGCCTTTGCACCAGAACGATCACCTCAACTTTACTTGAAGTCTTCCAATTGGGGGCAAAGCCACTAGCACCAGAGCATTTAGAGCAAATGTAGACAAATGGTGGTCCCAGCACCCATCAACTGTCAGTCGTAACTTCGCCAGTGCTTCTGGGCTTCCTACGGTGGCCGTGATAGAATGTAAAACTCAGTCAGCAGCTTTCTCTGTTGGGAGGCAAGTCTTGTTAGTCTGACATAACGGGCAGAGGAATCTGTCTTTAGCCTCTCAGCCTCCTGTAGACATCTGCCATGGTTCCCAGTTAACTCCAGCGTTTTCAGGTGCCTCCAGGCTTACCGAATAATTCAATTCTCTTTTGAAAAAGAGCAGCCAAGATGAAACGGCACACTTTGGACTCTTGAGTCCTTGCGATGGCCAACTCATCAAGGAAAACCATGCAAATGGTGACAGCCATGGAATGACAGCCACCGACTCTGGACTTTGACTTCACTGGGCAACCAGGTTGGCGATGCTTTTTTTTTCAGCTATGCAAAAGCTAGGTTACTCTTTTCTTCAAGCCGTGCCTCGGCAAGGGACGAACGTTGAACTGACTTACACCAAAGAACAGAAACGTAGATCCTCGTTTATTACTGACCGTTACGGATTGGGATGAGAACCGTCGGAACTTCGTGGAAAGATGAAGAGAAAATCGAGGGGCAAGGGTGGTCCATCGTCCGTAGCGAAATACCGGGGACCCAAGTACTCGTGTCTCACCTTGGACGGTACAGTACCTTTGTTGTTCAGGGGGAGACGGGCATCACTATATGCAACTATCTTGAATATGCAACCTGAAACCAATCTTCAGCAGCGGTTAAGGTGCCTTCTCTGCCTAGGACGTAAGCAGGGATTGGGGGGCCCTTTGGCGCTCTTCAGGAGCACCCGTGAAGGAAACCCAGTTCAGGTAGCCAAGACTAGAATGGGTCCTGGTGTCCTCAGGGGGAATTTTATCAGCTTGCCATCTCTGGAGGGAGAGTTGAATTTTGCTCTCTCCCAGGGAATTGCGCGCGCGTGTGTGTTTGTGTGTGTGTGAGTGAGTTTCCCATTCATTCAACAGCAGTGAATTAAGGTAGAGCTTGGCTCAGGTACTGTACACTTGTAGCATTATCAGCGCTCTGATGTAGCTTTTGAGTAGCCCTCCTCAAGCAGGGGTCCTCCAGTTGGTTTGGATGGTGATTCTAATCTTGACTGCTTGGGCTGGAAATTTAATATTTCTGGGGTCAGTAGGTTGGGGGGGTAGGCAACCTTGGCTCTTTTATGACTCGTGGACTTCAACTCCCAGAATTCTGGGAGTTGAAGTCCACGAGTCATAAAAGAGCCAAGGTTGCCTACCCCTGTTCTAGGATAATGTTCCTCAAACCTTAGCAAATTTAAGATCTGCACTTCAGCTCGCAGAATTCAACAGCCAGCCATGCTGGCTGGAGAATTCTGGGAGTTGAAGTCCATACAACATAGAGTAGCTAAGGTTGAGGGACACTGTTTTAGGATACGAAGCACCATTATTCCAATCATTCCATTATCCCACCTGCCTCTCGGGTGATGCACATCAGGTCTCACCTTCCTCCTTGCCCATCTGCATTAGTTTTAATTTCTGCAGCTTTCATGCTGTACTTTGGTCTTGGGAAAGATCAATGACACAAGCAGAACCTTCTTGGCACATTCTATGTTTAGGAGCCCAGCATTTGAAAAACAGAAAACTCTTAGGTTTACATTGAATACAGTGTAATATGTATGAATAGATCAACAGCCAGGATTGTTTGTGACTTCTTTGTTGAGTCTCTACTCTTGTTCCTGGTACCGAGTGTGGTTACAGTTTTCTTCCCAATGGTCATTCACTTGGACTTTTTTAAACCACAGACCCATCCCCGAACAAGTTCTAAGTCCAAACCCTTCCTTCCAGTCCTTTTGCTTGGGTCTCTGATTAGCTACCGAAATCTGCTCCTGGGTGGGTTGTCTGGTTAACTTCAAACAAGAGAACCAACAGAAGTCCCGTTTTTCTATTGAATGTCTTCATTTGTCATTCCCAACTTTATGATTGCCGCATAGAAACTGGCTTTCCAATTGTATTGAGCTCTAGCTCGCATGGCAGCTGGCTGGGCATTATGGGAATGGTGATAGAACACATCTGGAGGGCGTCTGGTGGGAGAAGGCTAACTTACTGGGAGAGAACAGAATGAAATCTGGAAGACTTTCCCATATTCTCAGAGCTAGCTCCACCAACACCATGGGGGTGAGTTGTCCCATAGAACATGCCCAGCTTCCATTTCACCACCTCCTGTAGGCTGCATGTCCGAAGTCCCCCACTTGCCCAACTGCACCTTCACTTTGCATGTCCATGTATGTGTCTTGAAGAAATGGCGAGAGCTGTTCCCAGCTTCTCCCCCATCAAACTATGACTCTTCTCCTCTCTCTCAATGCACTGAACACACCCTCCTTGGAGAGCACTACCAAGTCTTCATTCAGGATGGTCATCTCTAGAAATAGGGGAGGGGCTGCATGGTGAAGGGCAAGAGGGGAAAGGAAGGGAGCAGGGGATGGCTTTGACAGCTAAAGACAATAAAGTGGGCCTCGGGGTAGTTTTCCTAATAAATTTTGTTTCTGAGACAATGCATAGTTACCTCACTTTATTAACTTATTAACTTATTGGTTTCATTAAAATTTTCAGTAGATGGCTGCCTGTGTGTCTCATTACTTCTTTGCTCTTGGGAGATTCCATGGGACCTGTGTTGGGAGAAATGAATCTCTGGGAAAGGATGGTTCTTTAACTTTTATAGAGCGAAGGGAGGGGCCGGAGAAGAAGAGGTGTCCTCTCTGACTTGCTGTTACAAGGCTGAGGAAATTGTCTGGGAAGGAAAGACACAATGTTTGAGTGGCAAAACAAAAAGCAAGAAGAAGAAGAAGAAGAAGAAGAAGAAGAAGAAGAAGAAGAAGAAGAAGAAGAAGAAGAAGAAGAAGAAGAAGAAGAAGAAGAAGAAGAAGAAGAAGAAGAAGAAGAAGAAGAAGAAGAAGAAGAAGAAGAAGAAGAAGAAGAAGAAGAAGAAGAAGAAGAAGAAGAAGAAGAACTTCTTCTTCTTCTTCTTCTCAAACTGCACAACAGCCAAGACTTTCAAACATAAATAGTTACTTGACAAAGATCTGAGGGGGACGTAATACAGTTCTGCCAAAACGCCTATCAGTTTGGGTGTGTGTTTCATTAGCTCACATTGTGCTTACATCTTGTTTAACCAGGACAGACAAAGACCTAATAGCAACATTTATCCAAGATGTGAAGCTTGGTTAATGCTAACTTTGGCTACCTTCAATGAACCCAGGGTATTTGGTTTATGTTTATATTGTACAAATAGGTTGTTTAGAGTATAATATATGGAGAGGGAGGCTTTAGCCAGGGTAACTTACACCCTCATTCCTTCTTGACATTATTGCAGTACCTCAAAGAGTTCTACATGGGGCTGCCCCTGAAGACTATAAAATATAAAAGGGGGGGGGGGAGGAACAGCCAGCATGTTAGTGGATGGGAATCACTTTAGCACAGCAACCAATATTGTGGGTGCTGCGTTGTTTGCCAATAGGGGCTGGTTAGTACCTAAAAGTTTTTGACAAGGGATGGTTTTCCCACCCTAGTCAAAATACCCAGATAGCAAACACCTCCCATACTGGCTGGGGAATTCTGGGAGATGAAGTCTAAAGATCTGAAAGTTGCTAAGTTTGAAAAACACCGATCTACCACATATATTACCTATTTATTTTCCCATTAGGTTTTACTTCTTATGTAGACCATCTCCCCTGCCCGCCCTCTTAGCTGTTATGTGAATCCCGCCAATAAAAGGTTCCTTTCAGTTTAGCAAAAGTAAATAAAACAACAACAAAAAAAGGCCTCTGGTTGTTCCTTTTCATTGCCTCTAAGAGGAGCTATTGCTTTTCTAAACTCTGTTTTTAAACACACCGGGCAAAGACAAAAGGAATACACACACAGAGAGAGACACAGAGGGGGAAGAGAGAGAGAAATATATACTTTGCAAAAATAGGTTTGGTATCTTTATCATGTCTTGTTCTCTCCTTCTCTACTGAGTGAGCCCAGGCATCCTAATTTGAGATTTAGGAATTTCTGGCAAACCAATAGGAACATCTTTTTTTCCCCAAGGTGAAATGAAGTGCATTTTTTATTGGTATGAAAAAGACTTTTAGCCTTGTGAGAAGTTCCTTTCCCCACTGAGGGCTTGTAGTACTTTCATAGTTACCCCAAGCCATGGGTGGAGTGATACAAATTATTGTATATTATTGGCACCGGGAAGGTTGTATGGACATCATTGCTTGCAGTTGTCCTTTGGGCACCTTTTAATTTTATTATTTAATTTTAGTGTTTATTTAAATTAACTGGCTTTTCCACTTGCTGCGGGAAATGTCTGAAACTAGGGAAAATACCCCATAAAAATATGTTTTTTAAAATCTCTATAAGCAACACGAATGATCTGGATGCGAGGACCACTGTTCCCCTGCTTTCTCTCTTACTTACTGAACTGTAAGAGTTGGTGTGTGACAGTTACTAATTATGGAATGTTTTAAGGGTATAAAATTTGCAATAAAACTATTGACAGCCCTGCGGTAATGGTAAAATAACGAGGGGGGGATTACTGGGGATAAAGCGGTTTATCAGCAAAAGAGCAGACTTCCCCTTGGTTCAACAACAGCAACAAAAGCTCAGATAACAGGTGAGAGTTGATTAGCACAACACTTATTTTATGTTATTATTGTTTTATTATATTTAATTATTTCATTATTA